AGTCACCATAGTCACTATGTGACGGTCTGGAGGGTTTGCGTTGCGAGCTCCTGGGTAAAGTGGAACTTAATTGTTCCTCTACTAGATCGGCAAAACACATTCATACATTCATATATATATATATATATATCATTTATTATACTATAACTGTTACTATTATTATTTTTACTTAATAATTATTATGAGCTAATAGGATCATCAATAGCATCATCAATTTATTATCAATGTTTGTTAAGTTGCTCCTATTATTACCTCTTGCTAGAAAACGATAGAATTTATGCCGTGGGAGCGGACGGACGGAGTGTGTTTGTCAGCTGGCGTGCGAATAGAACTAACCCAGATGGTGGCTATTACAAGTACGAACTTCGCATCAAGGATTGGCTCGGAAGAAATCCTCAAAAAGTGCGATTAAACGCCGGAAAAGAAATGTACGATTGGAAATTCTCTGGAATTGGAAATTCAGACGCACATTATGTGGACTTGGATGTGTGCAACTCAACCAACTGCACCAGCTTATCTAGCGCCCGTCTAATAACAAATTTCAAACGTGAGAAACGGTCTTCCATTATTTAATGAATATAAGTTTTTTTCCAAGTCAAAAAAGATAAAACATAGGCAACTACTATTATATGTCACTGAAACTGCTTTCGCCGAATTCAGTAGCATCACTCGCAAATTGAGTTTTTTTTATAAATTTGAAACATCGTTTCCCAGGTACACATTTGAAGACAGCGTATGTAGCAGAATTTAATGGCACCATAAATTTCACGAGCGCTCATCAGCCGCTTCCACTCGCTGCATAAACAGAATAACGAATGATAAATTACAGAATTAAATTTATCCAGAAAAATCGATCCAAAACATCAAGGTCACTTGAGTTAGCCAAGGGGCAATCAATAAAGTGGTAAACTCAAACATTGTGGGCAGCAAAAGCGCTGTAAAAAACGTCTAAGGCAAAAACATCTAAGGTAAAAAAGGTGAAAAGGGGGTGGGTAAACAGGGAGCCGGTGCTACCACGGCAGGGTTAGGTTCA